TCGCTGTCTCTGTCTCTGTCGCTGTCTCTGTCTCTGTCGCTGTCTCTGTCTCTGTCGCTGTCTCTGTCTCTGTCGCTGTCTCTGTCTCTGTCGCTGTCTCTGTCTCCATCTCTCATATTAACAATCCATGTGCGTATGCGCGGATTGAAGTTTCTCCTGCCTAGTGTCGGTTAGTGAGAGAAGCGGTTGGTACATTGGAAGAGACACATAACCATTTGGATCTTTCCACAAGCGCGCAGCGGCACTGGGCTGGTAATTGTGTCTTGTGCATAGATGTTGATGATGAAACTCATGTAGCCGTTGCTGTTGCCGATTTTGTTGTGGTGACGAATATCCTCAGTCTTACCGTTGTCGCAGTAGGTGCCGTAGTATCGTTGGAGTAGATGTTGCCAATTTTGGATTACCCTTGCAGATGTAGATTGCTGGTAAATAAGTTGTACATCTGGTAGACGCGGAGGTGAAGCCGACCGAATTCGTGGCTGGCTGGCTGAATTAATGACTGACCGACTGATCGATCGATCGATTGTATGAAACCATATGAATTAATATCGAGGAGCACGCTCAAACATAGAAGCCGGCATGTGAAAGCTGGGGATGCTCATGATGATGGCTAGGTCGATAGGAGAGTATTGAGATGGAGATACACTCCATGTCGGATATAGGCCAGGTGGCGGCGGCGGAGAAGGAGGTGGCGAATAGAAGGCGCCGCTGGGCCGTTGCTCATATTGAGAGATGTGATCGAATGCACAGAACGGAGGATGGCACCTTTCCTGCTGCAAAGGAAATGGTGGTAAATACCCCTGGAGGGGAGGATCAGGGGCTTGGGGTGTGAAGTACTCTTGCTGACTGGGAGCGGGTAATGGAAGTGCCGAACTTGTCAAGGTCGATTCCGGTGTTGACGGTCTCGAAGGAGAGAAGATCCACGAGATCGTTTGAAGAATTGTAATGATGTGGTCGTGTCCGTGGTCTGATGTTCCACTTTGCATATGAAACTTAGCCGTCTTGGTTCGTAGGTCGATTGCTGTTCTCAGGTCTTCGAGTATGTCCTCAGGGATTTCGATTCCGTCTTGAATGGCTGAGACAGCCAACTGGAGATGATTGTTCAGGGGAATCGTGCTCGGACGGTTGTAGAGAGCTCTGATCCAAGACAAAACGTTGTCTGTGGCTTGCTTGTATTGCCCGTACAGCTTTCCGTACTCTGGATTGAGGATAGACATATTGAATAAATGTAACAAATATGTCCCAGACAGGAATAGATGTCGGTAAGATTGAAGGCAAATTTGAATGATTCGTCCGAAGTGTGCCGTATGCCGAGCTCTTTGAGTCCGTTGGTGCATCCGGATTTGTAGAGAACGAATGTGTCGATGAGTTCGCTGTTGTAAGAGCGAGCGTGCTGCAGAGTGTGCTGAGTAGTATGTTGTGTGTCGCCGAGCGGCCGTGTGTATGTTTGCGTGTTGAGTCTGTGGAGAGCAGGGCACAGAAACATGCGACCATTGGGCTTTTGTACTCGAAAGGAGGTGGTCCCACAAGTATTCTAGACACATGCTGCGCCAGACTATCGTTGGGCGTAGGAAAGGTGCTCAAAAAGTTTCTTTGAAGACTTGATACAGGCAGAGCGACTCATCAACTTGGGTAACATCTTGATTGGGTAGGCGACCGCCACGCCATTCATCTCCTCCGGCTGGATGATTGGTCGGTTCCGTGAGTGAGGCTTTTGGCCCAATGGGTGGTTTGACTGGTTCGCTTTGGGTCAGCCCTATAGTGTTGCGATGGTGGATAAATCGAGAAGTCGTTTTTGGCAAAGCAGCATCTCGACTTGAGCGTGGTTGGCGCCCTCTCCCATCAAATGCATAGCAAAAGCCCTCACGTAACAATTTCGGCAGCGGACGTGGCTCGCATGTGGAGACCCGTGAAGACAAATGTGCTCACCTTCAGATCATGAGAAGGGTAGGACGAGTACAGATCGGCTTGAGAGCTGCATGCACCGGCAATTGAGCCCGAAGACTCGGCATGTAGCTTCGAAGAAGTGCTCATATGCGTTAAGCATCAGGCCTAAAGGATTTGCTCGATGCAAAGCACATTGGGCCTCATTCTTCGCTAGATTCTGACCCCAGGTCTGATGAACCGGGTGGCTGGAATTGCAGACTTGTTGCTGGTGGCTGCGTCAGGATTTTGCCCCTGCTGCAAGACAAGGTGGTCAATGTGCAGCCTGAACCACTGGTCGGACTTGATATCGTGTCCATCGGTAGATCACCTGGGTCAAGTTGACTCATAAGAAAGTACCAATTGACATCTTGTGAGTGGAGTCCAGACCACTTGTTTAGACTTTCAACCAGGTTCGAAACAAAGTCTATGTCGACTGGTGAGAATGGGAAAAAGAGAGCATAGCTGTAGAGTCGGGTGATATGAAAAAGGCTGAGCTTGTATCATTCTGCTAGGAGACATGTGTGAAGTTGAGATTCTTGCGTCTCGCAAGCTGCCTATTAACATCCAGAGGCCGGGAATTGATGTGTGGCGCGTCTCCAGATGCGCGAGCCGACAAAGTCATTGTGTCTGCTCGAGGATAGGCTTAAACAAGACGAGTCAGTCACGGCGGAAGTCCCCTGTTGCTTACAGCGGTAATCGGCTTATTTGGATGGAATGGCTGGTCCTTCGCTGAACGGAAGAGTGAGAGAGACTCCAGAGAGCCATATTCAATAGTTGCGAGTGATGGCAAGGAGATCGGATAAATTACGAACCTAATTCCGCTTCTTCCGTCTTTCATTCGAGCTGGAAAAACCCAAGGAGCGTGATGCTGTAACTCGTTCAATTTCAAAGTGTTTTCTTCTCAGATGTAACTTGAGGGACGGAGTATATATTGCAGCAATACGATGTACTCGAAAACTTCGCGGCATCTCAGTGTTTATCAAGAGCGCCGCCCAAATGAAGGCATCAGAGCCTCTAGAAAGCATATCTAACCCCCAACGCCAAGCCAAGTACAATCACTATCAATTTTCAACCCCATATTACTTTATCACTTGTAGAACCAGTAGATCGCCGAATAATCCACGCTGAAAGCCGCAGGCATATTTGCACAGGTCTCCGGTGGTTGCCCACCCGCCGTGCTTAAGCGGTAGACGGCTTTGATTGGGCTTTCAGTGGTGGGTCGAGACGTCAGGTAAAGCCAAGGGACCGCACCGTTGCCGATGCCGCTGACGCCGGGCACAGCGTTGGCTGGCGCATCGGAGGAGTGTACTTTTTGAGCAAAGACTGTGCCAAACTTGGGAGAGGTGGCAGTGTCAAAAGCAAAGACCGGAGTGGAGGCGTTTGAGAAGTAGTGATGTGTCGAAAGTTGAAGGTCCGAGGGGGCAAGAGGAGCAGATGGATCAGCCGGCAAGGGGTATTGCAGCGCCAGGTTGGGGATGAGGCCGAGAAGATCTGGATAGTCGGCCGCCACACAGGAGGCATTGTAGAATCTCGCCACAGCCCCGATTGCCGCGGGAGTGGCTGTGGCATTGGCACATGTATAGTTCTAATCATGTCAGCAATCCGTTGGCCAAGCAGGAAGCAGGGGCACGTACCTGTATACCTCTGCCCACAGCAACATGCTCAAGTATCAAACCCGTCGGATTGGGCAGTGGCGTCGGTGCGATCGGCATAGCAGCTCTTGAGAGGTCACAAGTTGCGGATGGTTGTCCGGGCGATTTAGCCTGCTGCATGTACTG